CAGAGAGAAATCATCTTAACTCTAATCAAGACCCTTGCAATGCCTCCTATCCCACTGCTGACACCAATTACTGGAGGGAGGAGGTAACCTAGTGACAGAGGATGTGGGAAAAGCTGAAGGACTCTATGCTTTCTTTGCCTCTGTATTCACGGACAAGGTCAGCACCCGGACTAATGCCCTAGGCAGTATGGGGAGGAGGTGGGGAGCCCTCGGTGGAGAAAGAGCGCGTTAAGGACTATTTAGAAAAGTTGGACACGCACAAATCCATGGGGCTGGATTTAAGGCAGCCGAGGGACCTGAGGGAGTTGGCAAATGTCATTGCGGAGCCTTTGGCCATGATCTTTGAAAAGTCGTGGAGCTCGGCAGAGATGCCGGATGATTGGAAAACGGCAAATGTAGTGCCCAGCTTTGAAAAAGGGGAAAAAGTTCCCGCTGGGAAAAATCATCCATGAAAGGCAAGCCAGGAGAGTGGGGGGAAAAGCCATGGAGAGGGGAAAGTGATCATCCATGATTTTTCCCGCCGGGTTGGGTGAGGATTCCCGTGGCGCCTCACCGTGGAAAAATCCTGGAGGGGATCCTCAGGGAATCCATTTTGAAGCACTTGGAAGAGGGGAAAGTGATCAGGAATAGTCAACGTGGATTCACGAAGGGCAAGTCATGCCCGACCAACCTGATGAGCTAACTGGCTCGGTGGATACGGGAAAGTCGGTGGATGTGATAGACCTGGACTTTAGCAAAGCTTTTGATACCGTCTCCCACAATATTCGTGCCAGCGAGTAAAGAAAGTCTGGATTGGATAAATGGTGGATAGAAAGCTGGCGAGATTGTCCGGCCCAGCGGGTAGTGATCAACAGCTCGATGTCAGGTTGGCGGTCGGTGTCTAGCGGAGTGCCCCAAGGATCGGTTGTAGGGCTGGTTTTGTTCAACATCTTTATGAATGACCTGGAGGAGGGGATGGATTGCACCCTCAGCAAGTTTGCAGGTGACACTGAGCTAGGGGGAGAGGTAGATACGCTGGAGGGCAGGAAGAGGGTCCAGAGTGACCTGGACAGATTAGAGGATTGGGCCACAGGAAATCGGATGAGGTTCAACAAGGACAAGTGCAGAGTCCTGCCCTCGGGACGGAAGAATCCCAAGTATTGTTACAGGCTGGGGACCGACTGGCTAAGCAGCAGTTCTGTAGAAAAGGACCTGGGGGTGACAGTGGATGAGAAGCTGGAGATGAGTCACCAGGGCGCCCTTGTAGCCAAGAAGGCGAATGGCATATTAGGGTGCATTAGGAGGAGTATTGCCAGCAGATCCAGAGATATCATTATTCCCCTTGTGAGGCCACATCTAGGCTACGTCTACACTGGCATGATTTTCCGCAAATGCTTTTAACGGAAAAGTTTTCCGTTAAAAGCATTTGCGGAAAAGAGCGTCTAGTTTGGCACGGACACTTTTCCCCAAAAGCACTTTTTGTGGAAAAGCGTCCGTGGCCAATCTAGACGTGCTTTTGCGCAAAAAAGCCCCGATCGCCATTTTCGGGACCA